TTAGAATTAGAAATCAAAGAGCAGTAGACACCAGCTTATGATCACAGGCTAGAGGAAAGCTCAAGTTGTCTGTGTATGTATTTTTGTATTTTCCTTTGCTAATGACGATACAACCTTCCTTTCAGATGGTAACTATTTATAGTCTCTTTAATTATTTCTGTATCTTGGATTTCTTTGATTCATAGAGACTTGGAGCTCTTCCTGGAAATGCAGTATTTTTTTATAATTATGTTGATTGGATATTTTTTATACAGGAGAAGCTGTCTAATATGAAAGACTGTAGGTAAAAGTTTGAGTTTTTGCTGAGTCAGTCAGATTTTGCATTTCTTTTTTTATAATCTAGCTATTAAATAGACATATACAGTTAGGAAACCATCCTGAAAATGAGAACATGTGTTTTAATATTGTCATGTAATGTATATTCCATTTTTCCAGCATTGCACAACCTATATTTAATTTCTTTATTTCACTGCTGGCTGCTGTACTGGCAAGGCAATAGCACCAATGTACAAACTAAACCAATGCACAAGCATGGCAGTTCTCCAGGCACTGATTTCCATATGTTACAGTCTTTAACCGCTTCAATACCGGGCACTTTTACCCCCTTCCTGCCCAGCCCATTTTTCATGTTTCAGTGCTCTCACACTTTGAATGACAATTGCGCAGTCATGCAACACTGTACCCAAACTAAAATCTTATCATTTTGTTCACATAACTAGAGCTTTCTTTTGGTGGTATTTAATCACCACTGGGGTTTTCATTTTTTCTAAATTAACAAACAAATACCAAATATTTTGAAAAAAAAAAACACGTTTCTTTGTTTCTGTTATAAACGTTTGCAAATAAAATTGTTCTTCATAACTTTAGGCCGAGATGTATTCTGCTACATGTCTTTGGTGAAAATAACCTAAATCAGTATGTATTATTTAGTCTGTAGGACAGTTATAGAGTTCACAAACTATGGGGTATATCTGAAAATTGATCATTCCAAATATACTGATGGCCAATCTGATTTCTTGAGGCCCATAAAATGTCAGAACAGTACAGATATCCCCCAAATGACCCCTTTTTGCAAAGTAGAAAGTCTGACGTATTTCATATGAGGCATGGTGATTTTTTTGAAGTTGTAATTTTTTCGTCATAATTTTTTGTAAAATGAAGTTAAAAAAATAATTTTCACAATTTTTTTTTACATACTGTCACCAGTGCAGTGCAGCATCATCATATAACTGGTGTGATGGTGATCAGAGACACACTGAATGGTGACAGTATGAAAAAAAAAAATATTTTTTTTATTATTTTTTAATTTTTAATTTTGTTTTCTCTTTTTTTAAGATTTTTTTTTCATATTACGCTATGACCAAAGTAGTATAATATTGCCATAGTAACATTGTACTACTTTAGGGAAGTGATCAGTATTTTCTTTTTTTACACAATTTGATTGCTTATAGCAAATAATTTTTTTGCTATAAGAAAGCATTTAACTGAATAAGATTGATTGATTCAGCTTTTTTTGTTGTGATTAACTGTGATTGGCCAAAGCTAATCACATGACACAGATGGGCTGTGATTGGACCAGCCTGTGCATGTGATCACTGTGACCATTCACAGCTAGACATACTTGTATACAATGGATGGCATGAAAGGAAGCCATCCATTGTATACAACTGTCATGTGACCTGCTGTTATTGGTCACAGCAGGTCACATGGTACTGGCAACGGGGCCGGTACACAGATCTGTTATCGGCTGTGTCCAAGGTACACGGCCGGTGACAGATCTCACCACAGCGCGACCCGAGCGCAATCCCTGAAGGACGTCATATGATGCCCTACCGAAGGGACAAGAGGTTCACCCGGCCATCATATTACTATAGGCTGGGCGGGAAGTGGTTAAATAAGGAAAATAACTGCAGTGCCTCACGCAATTACCATTCCCTAAGAAACTTTTACTAATGTGGTTGCAAACCTCAGACATGAAATATGAGCAAAGCATATCTTTCTATAGTGTGTACTTGTCTCTAATCCAAAAGACTAAGTGTCATTTCTGTCTGCTGCTTCATTCCTCTGCTATCAGCATGAATAATTTCTGAGCAGTTTTCCTGACACTAAAAAAAAATGAAAAAATGGTGACGGGGAGGAAGTTTGAGCAAAGTGGCAGCCTCAGCTTTCTTCCTGTGAGCTGTCTGGAGGGGGGTGTCTTTTCCTTCCAATCAGCTCTCAGAGTTCTCTTCACTGAGCTCTGCAGAGTGTATGTAACTTCAGCTCTCCTCCCCCTTTTTTCTGAGCTCTAAGACAAGCTTTATAAATTCAGCACTTTAAATGTCTATAGAGAAGAGAAGACTGCAGATAAACAGGTACAACCTATGTAGGAGGATTTGTTTAATCTCTGTGTATCACAGGCACTTCACTGGGTAAATGTAAGGGTTTACAACTACTTTAATCTCTCTGCCTTGTACATTATGCCCAACTTCCTCCAATAGAAGCATGTTAGCTGAACATTTTCTCAAGGTGAAGGTGATAAAATGGGGCCTTGGATATGTCAATATAGCCAGTATGTCTCCCCCAAGAGCAGGGTCCCATCAGCAACTGCGGTATCTGTTACCAATGCTGGGAACTAAGATACCATGAAACCTAATTGCTGCTATCCAAAACAAAATCCTTTCACTTATTTTTCAAAGTAAATTGATTTAAAACTGTAGCCTTTAAAGGATTTCAATAATAAATACAGTGACACTCATCAGTAGGAGTAGTCATCTCATTGAATGTTATTTACTCAGTATTATTATGGTCTGTATGGTCTGTGCCATATAAAGACTGGGAAAAAGAGAAAAGTCTTGTGTTACATAGGTAATCCTAACAGAGGGGTAAAAACCTGTTCCAAAATGTGTGTTCCCACTTACTCCAGTGATGAAAATCTGGTCCTCAAGACACTGTGAAAAGTATTATGTGATTCTGAAACATAAAATAGTGTAAAATAAAATCATTTCTCTAATAATTCTTGTATCAACTTGCATGAAAACAAAGTGATGGCAACAATGTACAGAATAAAGTAGGATTTGCCCAGGCACTTTCTTTGTTACAGATGACATTACTTTTTTAGATGAAAAAAATAATGCAGAGCTGGCCACAGTGTCAGCTGGGTGTTCTTTGATCAGCGAGGCCTTTGACATACCTGATGTAGATTTACTGTGAAAGCTACCACTGATTTTACGTAATACAATGTATTTTTGATAAATCACTAGGTCAGTATACTTTTGATTTTTACATGTTACAGATCTGTCTCCAAACGTTTTGTAACATCTGCACATAAATTTTCAGTTCGTTCACGATAGTAGACTATTTGTACGACAGTCCTGGAATTGTATGTTAAAGAAAATCTAGTTTTTTTTCGTTTTGGATGAATAAAAAATGGTTAGACTCTTTGTCGAATTTTTATTGCTGTGTAAATCCCCACTGGGGAGATTTGACCCTCTATTTGTCCTGGTGCACAATGCCACTGAGACAACATTTTACAGCTGCCAACAGAATGAGAGGTGAAGGGAAATCTATTGGTAGATATGTGCAGTTTGTTTTGATCCCAATCAAATTTCGGTCAAATTTTTTCGTTATTCGGACAAATAGAGGGTCAAATTTCCCCAGCGGGGATTCACACAGCAATAAAAATTTGACAAAGAATCTAACCCTTTACTTCATCCAAAACAAAAATAAAACAAGATTTTCTTTAACATACAATTCCAGGACTGTCGTACAAATAGTCAGATGTATCAGAATTCTGAATTACAAAAATAACGATTTTAAATGAATCCGAAATAACAAAATGAAATTCGTCCGAAATTCAATTTGAAAACAAATTGGAATTAAAAAAACAAAATCGAACAAACATTTGAAAACAAATTTAAAAGCGGAGCTCCACCCAAAAGGGGAGGTTTCACTTTAACGCCTGGTCCCCCACTCCCCGTTAAGGATTAGCAGCTTTGGGGAGAGGGGGGGTAGCAGGTACCCAAAATTTACAGGCACAGCTTCCACTTCTGCTGCGATCACCTAGGCGATCGAAAGCAGCAGTTGTGCCCCCCCCCCGTAGTCTTCTGGGACACGTGACAGGTCCCAGAAGTCTGCGAGGCCATTCAGGAAGCACAGCACTACTCGCGCATGCACAGTGAGCACCTGGCTGTGAAGCCGCAAGCTGTCACAGCCGGATGTCCACACTGAGGATGATGGCACCAGTAACACAGGGCGGCTGGTGAAACAGGCTGCAGGGAGTACACCACAGGACCGAGGGACAAGTAAGTGTCTGTTTTTTAAAAGTCAGCAGCTACAGTTTTTGTAGCTGCTGACTTTTTTTTAATTATTTTCACTGGAACTCCACTTTAAACTCAAATTAGAAAACAAGAATACGATTAGAAAATCAAACGAAAATTCTTGAAACAAATATTCTGGTCCAAAAATCTACACATGTATGGCCAGCTGTAGCCTCCCTAGCAGTCTGACTATGTCCATATTTCTGTGCTCAAAGCGGTACATTTGTTTGCATGGAAATATGTAGTTTTTTTATTGTAGGCCTGTAATTTTAAGGAATAACTTACTGAAATCTGTCCGAACAAGAGTCTAGTAAACATCCCGGGTATGATAAAATTTGAAACACGAAATCATAAATTATAATTTATTAAATAATCATAAAAAATAATATAATAATAATAATTTGAATTCAATAATATAATCAAACCAAAAACACTGAAATTTGAAATATAGCGCCAAGTTCGCACATCACTGAGCAAAGCCGCAAAATCGTTTTCAGTGTCTGATGATGAATTTCCCCCACGAATCATTATCACTCAATTCTGCAAGTGGTTCTGATTTACTATCACTGTTCTCTAGCTGGTCTAAAACTGCTTTTGACCTAAAAAGGGACGCTTTTTGGACGCCATGGACGTTTTTCAGTTTCCAGGCAGAAAGAACAGTAAAAATGCAGGCAGGGCACAGGAAAAAGCACTAGGGACAAAATGTATGTGAAATGGTTTGATACAGTAATGTTATACTATGTGATTTTAGTGATTTCAGTGAATGTCACTTCTACAATTTCCTGCCAGTTCCATCCCCGTACGTCACGACGTCGCAGGGAACGGAACTTGGAAGACAGATGCCAGCATTGGCTGGAGGACATTGCCAGGGACGCTGCAGGGGGGAAATCGCGGGAGCGCAGGACAAGGTATGTGCAGAAGGGATCCCGGAACAACGCTGCAAGGTATTCCCGAGTGTAGCTCAGGGTTACCGCTTGTGGTGCTGAAACTTTACCCCGAGCTACACTCGGGAATACCTCCAGGGAGGTTAATCACCAATGAGAATATCGGACGAACTATCGTCCGTTATTTTTCACCTGCTAGACTCACATCAAAAGTGAAAAGATTATTAAAGATACGAAGATTCTCATACAAAAGAAAAGAATTTCGAAAGTGGTGTCATGTATTTGTATTGTATTTTCGGATGACTACTGTACTGAAAAAAAACGGAAATCGTATGAACTGGTATCATACAAGAAAAATTTTTGCGCTTGTCCCTTCAGGTATTGTCGCACGAATTGATGTGTACTAATGATCCGATTATTGGACAATCGGTCCTCGTACGAAAAATTTCTTACAATTTTCTTATCATGTGTACGGGGCATTAAGCTGGCCGGACATGTGTATATTTCCGGCCGAGAATATTCGTAAGAAGTTGTACGAAAATTCTTTGCACATTTGATGAATGTCTTTTGCTTTTAACATTTTAAAAATGTTTTAATTTTTGTAAATCAATGTAATTTCTACTCGATAACCACATACACGGGCAAAAATTCTTTTGAACGAGAAACGTTTTCCTTCCTGCCCCTTCAAATTTTTCCATCACTGCGGTCGAAAACAACCATCATCGATTTGACCCCACTAACAGTTAGAAAATCAAACTAATATTCCTGAAATTAATATTCCCGGACGAAAATCTACATGGGTATGGCCAGCTTAACTTTTCTAATTCGTTCCAATTTTTTCGACTTTGGTTGAAATCTTTTCGATTTCGAACGACTTTTTTTGAATTTTGCTGAATCAATTTTGAATTCAGTTGAACCAATTTCCAATGTGAACTACTTTTTGAATTTGGTCAAAATCTTTTTGAATTGAATTTGAATACAAATTACCAAAACAAATCCCAAAAACGAATTGAATGAATTTACAGAATCCAAGTACACGAAATTTGTTAGATCTTGAATCGAAACAAAACATACTTTTTTGTTTTCCCGATGTCTATCTATTGGGGGAAAATGTACTGTTGACTATGATAGGAATTCCAGTCACATTGGGGAAATATCCTCTTATTTCCTGATGCATCTCCAGGACAGTAAGTGAAGGGATTTCCCCAGAGGGGAGGCACAAGCAGCAAAAAATACCTTGAAAGGTGTTTTAACCCTTTCTTTCTCTCTCTCTCAAAAAAAATGTTTTGGATGCATACACTTGAACTTTGTGAGCCATCATAGATACTAGGGTCTAATGCAGGCCATACATGGTTCGAATTCTGAACGATTTTTGTACACAAATCAAACCTAAGATTGGCCAATCAGTGATCACATGATTGGGACCTCACACAGAGGTCCCATACAGCGACCTGTCCACGGGTACCGAATCGCAGTGCTGTGCTCCCAGGCACAGGCAGTGAATGCGGGGGCCGTTTATAAATGGCCACCCACTTTGGCACTGCTCCCGTCCCGCCTCTTATGTACATGGGCCTGATGGGAAGTGTTAAAAGTGAAGTTTTTTTTTTTTTTTAGATTGACAGGTGATTGAAAGATGATGATGTGGTGATCACCACATAAGAATATTCACACCAATATGGTTGTAATATCTAGCCTTGAATGGAAAACTAGATCTAGGGTACGTGCTCTCTTTGGTAACTGACATCTTGTACACCGAATTATGTCAAGATTATCTATCTTAGACAGAGTAAGGCAAGGGTGTCAAACTGGCGGCTCTCCAGCTGTTGCCAAACTACAAGTTTTAGGAGGCATTGCAAGATTGACAGTTACAAGCATGATACAGTAAAGTCAGAGGCATGATGGGACTTGTAGTTTTGCAACAGCTGAAGGACCACCAGTTGTCGTATGTCCGTTTTTCATCTGTACGTTTACGGATGAAAAACGGACACCCATGTATTTCTATGGCCTAGCGGATGTAAATGGATGTTCATCTGTTTACATCCGTTTATGTCTGTATTAGTTACCATCTGTTTTTTTGAACGGAAGAAAACCCTATTGTTTTTCCGTTAAAAAAAAACAGAACGGACAAAAAAAGGATGTAAACAGCCGAAAAATTTATGAAAACGGATGTAAACAGATGGAAATGGGCGAAAAACGGATGTAAATGGATAAAAAAACGGATGTAAATGAGAAAAACGGAGGAAAAAACTGATGTAAACTGATGAAAAACGGATGTAAACTGTTGAAAAACGTATATATACTGATGAAAAAACGGATGTAAACTGATGAAAAATGGATCTAAACTGATGAAAAAACGGATGTAAACTGATGAAAAACGGATGTAAACTGCTGAAAAACGGATGTAAAGTGATGAAAAAATGGATGTAAACTGATTGTTTTTTGTTTGGAAAAAACATGACTGAACTGATGAAAAAAATGTAACGCCTGTGTGAAAGGGGCCTAAGTGTAGTCAGCAAGTTGTTTAATTCATGAAGCAATAGTAGGGCATCTGGTCAATAGCAGTGGATCAAGGGCCACATTCCCATTACTACAGCCTACAACCACTTAACATTTGCCACCTAGACACACACCTCTGCTAAAAGCACCTCTTTCACATAAAACATTTTCTTCTTTTAGTGATCTAACGTGCCCTAGAATATCACAATGTGTAAAAATCTAGTGCTACCCCTGGAGGGGCCACTGGATTGTGTGGATTTTCCTGCCCTGCTCTAGTAATGAATTGCCCTATACCTGGGCCCAAGTGACACAGACAAATCTGGAAACAGATTAAACTGGCTTTATCAACAGTAAAATCCTTGAAAAGGAAAGGGTGGGTTTAACAGATGTATAATAGCAAATACAGTTCGACTTGAGAAACCAACTTCCAGTGTAAGTTGGTTCATTCCCCCTTCCTTTAGATTGTAAGCTCCACGAGCAGGGCCCTCATATACCTTTTGTACTGAAATGTATTGTAATTGTACTGTCTCCCTTATATTGTAAAGCGCTGCGCAAACTGTTGGCGCTATATAAATCCTGTATAATAATAATAATTCCCCACAGCTGCCTGTAAAGACAACCTGAATGAAAATGCACTAGACTGACCCTGACCCTGAGTAAAGCTGCCTGCAACAATATTGGTACAGCCTACCTAATCAATGTCCAGTGAATCTGAACTCAGTCCCGCTGATGTTGGGGCCCTTTATTCTCAATGCAGCCTCAATGCAGCACGACAGTGGAACAGCAGGAACACTCTGGAACAACTAGAGCACTTGTGGAACAACTAGAGCACTCTGGAACAACTAGAGCACTCTGGAACAACTACAGCACAGGAAACCAGAAACAGCTGGAACACTGGAATCACCATTGAGCCCCACGTGCAGCTCGCCTCTTGGGCTCTCAGCAGGCAGAAGAACCAGTAACAACAGCCATGTAGCTCTCGTCTTCTAGCAGTAGTCCCGACACAACTCCACTCTGTAGCTAACACAGTCTCTATCACATGTAAAAAACTATAAAAAAAATCTGTGCTGGATCAAACTATATGACAAGCTGCTGACACTAAATTCTGATACAATTATTTAACATATATATATATATATATATATATATATATACAGTATATATATACGTGTAGCGCTAAATAAAGAAACCTTTATGTGATGGAGCAATCCCAGCTATTAACCTGTAAAACTCAATGTAATGATATTCAAAACCATGTATCAATATCACATAGATATATACAATAATATACAAAGTAAATATGATAAAAGCTCTTAAAATGTGAGTCCCAATTCCAAGAATTGATAAAAAGTGAAAACGTGAATCTTCAGTTGCTAGATGACCACACGATATCCATGCAAACATGTGTCACCCCATTCCGTGCTCAAACAAAGGCTTACAAGATATATTTGACCATCATGTTATAGAGTGGTCAAAATCAGCTCAAAGATGATGATTAACAGCCAATCTAGCCTTCTCCATAGCATCCAAATATGGCTCAAATATTATTTGCCCACTCCGTGTTGACCATCAGTGTCAGGCATTAAAGATGGCATATGCATACAATTTAAAAGAAAGTCCAAGATCAATACTGCACTCTATAGTTAAGACAATCCACATGTTCCCACTTTCAAAATGCCAGCAAGCATACACGCATGCGTGGTGACGTATGTCCAAGCTCCAACTGATGCGTTTTCATCATAAGTGATGTCATCAGGGGTCAATATCAATACAGTGCTGAATAGTTCAAATAATCCACATGTTCCCACTTCCAAGATGACCACGAGCATACTCGCATGCGTGGTGACATGCATGGTAACATCTTGACCCCTGATGACATCACTTATGACGAAACACATTGGGTGGAGCTTGGACGTACGTCACCACATATGTGTGTATGTTCGCGGCCATCTTGGAAGTGGGAACACGTGGATTGTCTTAACTATACAGCGCCGTATTGATATTGGAGTTTCTTTTTCATTTTATGCATATGCCATTGATGGTCAACACTGAGTGGGCGAACGATATTGATATGATAACGATATTTGAGCCATATTTGGATGCTATGGAGGAGGCTAGATTGACTGTTAATCATCATCTTTTAGCTGATTTTGACTATTTTATAACATGATGGTCAAATCTACCTGGTAAGCCTTTATTTGAGCATGGAGTGGGGTGACACGTGTTTGCGTGGATATTATGTGGTCATCAAGCAACTGAAGATTCACATTTTCACTTTTTATCAATTCTTGGAATTGAGACTCACATTTGAAGAACTTTTATTACATTTACTTTGTATAATGTTGTATATATCCATGTGATCAGGGGCGGACTGACCATTTGGAAACTCGGGCACTGACCGAGGGCCCAGGGTCAGTAGGGGGCCCCATGAGATGCCCCTGGTACCTTTTTCATAGGCTTTTTTGAGTTTGGGCAAGGACACAGGGGCCCCATGAGTTGTCAGTCCGCCCCTGCATGTGATATTGATACATGGTTTGAATATCATCACATTGAGTCTCTATCACATGCCCTGGCAGTTCTTTCCCAGAGGGCACAAACCAGCTCCCAGCTTACAATGGCCCTCCTAAGCCTTTTGCGCATTGGCTTCAGCCTCATATCCCACACCTGTGGACTTTATTGCAACTCTCTTGTTACAAAACTGGTGGCTGCCCACAGGTCCCCGGCTCACCTCTCTCACCTATGTGGGTTTCCCCACAACAAAAGAATTGTTCCTGGTAAGCAAGGCTTAAAAACATACAACTGAGTGGGAGACAATTAGAATATGGCATGAATAGTTCTTGGCTGCTTTGTTTACAAACAGCTCCCATCTGTCTTGGCTGATGTAGGGATCCCTCCATGCGTTTCTCAGGTCAACAGACCCCCTTCCTCAGGAGATATAAAGATGTAAACTGAAGAGAAAGGGATATTAACAAATAAATGTTTATCAAGAGTGCCAATAACAATAACTATCTACCAATTTTAAATCAGATCCAACGCTTCCTCCTCTAACTTTTTTCCTCAGGCCTTAATTAACTCTTTTTAATGAAAAAGAGGGAGCGAACACCTAGCGCATTATCCCAAACACTTTATTTGAGATGATAAAAAACAACTGCTATGCTCACAAATCTGATGAGCTATAGGCATATCAATGCATAAAGCAGTCCACTTTCCACCTCCAAATGGAGACAAGAAGACAAAAACAGCTGACTCGTTTCGGGGAGCTACTCCACTTCTTCAGAAATGCATAATATGAGCAAAGTGCGCTCATATTTGGAAAGAAGAGCCCTGCTGTTATCTTGTGAATAGAGAACTTTCTGAACTAAGAGCCTCATCAGGCAGAAGACTGAGGTCTGCTAGAAAGCCAGAAGGCTAATGTGAAAGTGAACTCCATGATTGATTTACTCCATGAGCAGGATTGTTTGGATAGTGACATCTTGCCTCCAGAATGCAAGATGAGTTTTAGTACTGTGACGTATTTCTCAGCATTTTAAAGAAAGCATGTTTTTAGACTCTGGAGAGCAGCTGTCTTTGTACTGAAACTTAACAGCTAATCAATGCAGCTCTTTGACATCCACAGATACGAGGCATATATCTGTATGCATGCTTACTCTGTCAAAGTTGCTAGTTGAATGGTAATAGTGGACATCACAGAAGGGTTTCCTTGGTTATAAGAAGCACTATAAAAGGTCAGCAGACTCAGCAAAACTGAATTCATTCTGTCAGGCTTATATCTTTCCTTTCCCCATATAAATGGAAAGATTAAGAGTGCTGTCAAATCATTAGTGCTGCACGTACACTATGGGACGTGATCACTACTATTGAGCATAATTAAGCTTCTGATAATTACTGTGGGCTATAAGTAATCTTCTGTATTGAATATAGTGTAAATTATCATCTAGTGTACATGTTGATGATATGTCGTGAAAGGCTTGTAGGTAAAGGGTGATATCATAATACAGCTTTAATGAACTCCAAGGTTCTAAAATACCTACAGATAGCCGCAGTTTTCCCTTGGATGGTAATGGGTAATATCACAATTGCGTTATGAGATTCTATTATTCTTAGAAGGGATAAATATATGCAATGATGTATGTATGCAACAGAAGGGGGTGCCAGACTGTATCTTCACCAGGTGGCCACCGAGATGTTAAATCTATTGAAAGAGTGTCAAATCACTCATATTTCCAAATGAAGGTGAAGGTACAAACAATCTTGAAACATCATCAGGGACAGATGCCCTCATAGTAGTGACAACTTGGTTTGGGACAAGAGATATATCTCTATATGCAAAGAAAGAGGAGATCAGTCTCATTTTGACAGAACATACCCATGAAGAACTCAAGTTTGAAATAGGATGAATGTTACCACCTAAAACAGTGGTCTCCTAACTACAGCCCGGCGGCCCTTTGCTTGCCCCTATCCAGCCCTTCGGGCACTTTTTCTCCCACTTATACAAGACACTATTCTTCCCACTGCCACCAACAAGGGGGCATAATCCCTGCTACTGACATCAACAACAGTCACTATTCCTCCCATTGACACCAATGATGGGGCACTGTTCCTCCTATTCACGCCAACAATTGGGCACTATTCCTCTCACTGAAACAAACTAGGGGGCACTATTCCTACCACTGACACCAACAATGGGCACTATTCTACCCACTTACACCAACAATGGGGCACTATTCCTCCCATTGACACCAATGATGGGGCACTGTTCCTCCGATTCACGCCAACAATTAGGCACTATTCCTCTCACTGAAACAAACCAGGGGGCACTATTCCTCCCACTGACACCAACAACAGGCACTATTCTACCCACTTACACCAACAATGGGGCACTATTCCTCCCACTGACATCAGCAACGGACACTATTCTACCCACTGACACCAAAGGGGGGGCACTATTTCTCCAACTGACACCAAAGGGGGGGCACTATTCCTCCCCTAATGCCAAAGATGCATTGTTTACTGCCAATGAAGCAGGACAATTTCTACTCTCAATGGCCACAGTCTGGCCCTCCTAAACTCTGAAAGCCAGTAAAGTGGCCCTTTGTTTAGAAAGTTTGGAGACCCCAGACCTAGAAGAATGAGACAATATGCATCAATGTTCACATGATTAGCTGAAGGGATAAATGGTGTTTTGTTTAATAAAGAGCGTTCTATTTTACCAACAATCTCAGTTTTGAGGGGAGAGAATGGAAGTCCATTGATACTCTGGTATCCAGAATCAAACCCAAATACTCCAAGGATTGAGGTGGGGCAAGTAAGGATTTTTGTCAGTTCACAATACTTTTGAAGTTTTGTAGGCTTGCTAGTACATTCTGTAGTCTGAACTGCAAATCATGAGCTTCAATGAGAGGAATAGAATATCTGTCAATCCTGCTATAAATCCAACGAGATTGTACATATGTGTGCACTCTGTTGCACTGGTGTAAGTTACCAATATTATTAGCTCTGCCCATTTCCTATGTTATGGAGAAGTAGAGGGGAAGGTGTTCTGTAATCCTAACACACTCTGTCCTGATACACTGGTGCCGTGCAGTGACTTTGTGTTGTCACCCCAGGACAGAAAGGATGTTACTGGCAAGACTAACAGGTAAAATTAAAGAGGAAAGATACCCTAAAAATACAACCACAACACTAAGGATTTGTAAGCTGCAAAATACTAAAGTGGTTGTAAAGGCTGAAGGTTTTTATCTTCATGCATTCTATGCATGAAGGTAAAAAAACCTTCTGTGTGCAGCAGTGCCCCCAGCCCCCCTTAATACTTACCTGAGCCCCATCGTGATCCAGCAATGTTCACAACAGCCTCAGCTGTCCCGGGTCTCTGCCTCCTCGTGGGCTGAGCCAGTGACTCCCACTGCTGTCAATCACAGCCAGTAAGCCAATGAGGAGAGAGAGGGGTGGGCCAAGCCATGGCTCAGTGTGTGAATGGACACATGGAGCAGCGGGTGCCACATAGTAAGCTGCTTGCTGTGTGGGTACCCGACAGGAGGAGTCAAGAGCCCGTGGGGGACCCAAGAAGAGGAGGATCGGGGCTGCTCTATGCAAAACCACTACACACAGCAGGTAAGAAATTGTTATTTTCCAAAAAAAATAAAAATTAACCCTTAGAATCACTTTAAGTTTTTACTCTTGGGTTCAGATTCATTTAAAGAACACAGAATCAGCAATAGGGATGAGTATAAGGTTTGGATGGATACTTGAACATTTACCTATTTGGAGGGAGTTGAACATCATGTATATTAGCAGTATTACTGCCGCTGTTTACATGGCAGCTTCCTGCTGTTGTGAGATGGGGAAACAGCTCTCATTGTTTGCATACTGTGTGCAGTAAATTATTGTGTGGAGTAAATTAATGTTTTGACTGACATTCTGCGGTTTAGCCACAAGATCTCACTGTTTTTCTAACACAGGCTCAGACTGCATAGATATTTGTATATTCATGAAGAGGTGGAGATTTCACACAGAGTTGGGGTTTTAGTGAACAGGAAGAGGAGACTTCAGCCATGTTTTGGACGATGCTGAAAGCAGGGGCCGTGTGAGCTGAGCATCCGATGACATCCAGGTGTGAAAGCGTCCCTCACTAACCAGAGTTTGCTGCCAGGAAGGCTGATGAGAGCAGAGGATCTAAGCAACATTTATTCTGTTCAGAGTCACCAGTGGATGCAAAGCAGACCCAGGTCGGTAAGATCGTGCACGCACCTCATTTCAGTGTTGGTGCCCAGAGACTGAGTCCAGGCTGATTGTTAGTTAGTTAGGGTCTCTGTTTGTGTCAGGCCACAAGTGTTGTTACTGATCATTGGAAGGACTCCACCACTTAAAGTGACATTTCACATTGGAGAGCTGATAAAATCCTACAAACTCAAGCCAGACTGGCGTTTTGCTCAGAAGGAATACTCAGGCACGTGCTACAGGACCAGTTATGGGAGGGGGAATACTGTAGATTTGTGTAAGATTGTAAGCTGTTGTGCTGCACCGCAGACTAACCCATACCGTACACCCATACACTGATTCCTGCTCTCTTAGGGTAATAACGGGTAAGGTGTAGCAGCTTATTTGTGCCCACCAGTAGGTAAATTACTTCACTTTCTACCTTCATCCATCAGAAGGCGCCGTGCTGTGCAGCACAAGGGTCTCAGCCTTTGGGCTGGGTGTATGTAAATTTATTGTATGTTTCCAGCATTTGTGGTTGTGTTTATTTGCCACATCTAAGTAAAATTCTGTTGTGGCAAAAGCTGGTGTTGGGGTTGCTTTCCTCGTTCGTGACTTAACTATATCCTGGGGAGCCCACCCCGGTACACGGCTTACACTGTCAATGGTTGTTAAAGACACTGATGAGTGAGGGCACCACTGAGTTCTTAACAACCAGTGAATTTACTAACACATAAACTTCTCACTTCACAATCTTCGGCCATGTAAGCAAAGGATACAGGGATAGATTAACCCTATC